AAGTTTGATAAGAAAACAAGGCAATTTGGCCATGATGAAAAGAAGAAGTAGAGCTGCATGTCATCAGCATACTGATGGCAATGCACCCCAAAACTCTGGATGACCCCCCCTCAGCGGTTTCATGTAGATGTTAAATAGCATGGGGGAGAGCTAGGGAGACTCCCTGCTTGTTTAGATAGAATTTTACTGCTATATTGTCCATACCACTGAGGACCCTCTTGCCCTCCATTAGTGCTGCAAAAGACAGCAAAGTGTAACAAATATAGCTCTAAGCTCTGTCAAATTCACATGCAGGCATGACTCAGCCAATGAACACAGGCCATTAACAGAATGAGATCCACACTATGCACCCCAACCCAATAAGGAAGCATCGGTGAACACTTGGAATTCATGCAACTGAATCCCAAATGCACACCCCATACCAAGTTGCACCTATCAGCCCACCAGGATAAAGAGTGGACTACAGATGTAGGAACAGAAAATCGCTTCCAGGGGGAATCAGAAAGAACATTAAACTGCCATAGAAACCACTTCTGAAGTCCCCTCATACACAGCCATGTATACAGCACCTCTGATGTGGCAGAAGCCATGAGACCCAACAGCTACCCTTGGTGGATTAGAACCTATTGGCTGTAAAGTTGAGCACCAAATTGTAAATTACCAAAGTTCTGTCCTCCAGAAGGAACGCTTTCCCTATCCTGGAATCTAACAGAATGCCAATAAACAAAACAGACTGAGAAAGGTTCAACCAGGACTTCTCCTGATTAATTATAACTCCCAAGTTCTACAACGTGGCTGGAGCCAGAGTGACATGGTCTACGAACATTGCACTCAAGGAGGCTGTAAAAAGCCAGTCATCTAGATACGGTAGATGGTGCAACCCTGAAGGTGGAGGTGGGTTACCACTATCAATATGCATTTGATGAATACCCTTGGTGCTGTAAGGTAGATCAAAGGGTAGTACTGCATGCTGTAAGTGAGTAGTTCCACATATGAAGCATAAAAATCTACTGCTCTGCGAAATGGAAATGTAAAAACACTTATCTTTCAAATCAATGACCACGAACTATGTGCCAGGCTCTAGAAGCAATAAAACCTGAGACAATGTAGGTAGTTATTCAGGTCCCTGAGGTCCAATATAGGTCTCTTAGCCCCATCATTTTTACCTATGAGAAAGTACCTAGAGTAGAAACCAGACGATACTTCTGATTCAGGCACAAGCTCAATAGCCCCTTTATTTAACAGATCTCAGAATCACTTTATTGTATGTGGCCATAGGCCTTCACAATATCAAACACTCTCCGAGAATTTGTGCATAACATAGGATAAAAGAGAGAAAAAAATTCAACCTCTATGAAATGTATAAAACCTGTTAAAACTACCTCAGCCTATAATATTTAAATCCGATAAGACCTTTTAAGAACACTCAGTTGCAATGGTACTATTTGATTTCTTTGCTCTAATTTTTCTCGTGGCCAAGGCAAAGACAGCCAAACTTGAAGAGATGAAGGGGTCGTCATCTGAGAGCATAAGGGCCATCTTATCATGATCAGACAGGGGGTATAAGGGTGTCAATATCTTTGCTAGAAATTTGGCCCTAGGTTCTATGTATAAAGGACAGGTTCCACTGACTGCCCACATATACAGATACGTTGGTCTACTGGGGTTTTCTTATAGCGACCAGCTAGCATCTCCAAAGGCATTGTTTGAAAACGCAGTGAGGTAAGGGATCTCCTTAAATTATACGAGATTATGTTGTTTAAGTAAGAGGCTCTGAAGTGATCCTTTTAAATTATTTTAAACCATGGAGCAAACCTCGATTGGGAGATCAAAGTGGCGTCTATTACAGCATCCTCTCTAAACATCCATTCGCGTAGGTTAGTATTGTTCCCTGTATATTGCAGCAGGTCATCTGGAATAGTGTATCTAGTAATGATATAATTTAAAAAATTCAGGGCGAGCTTTATCTTTGGCATTCAGTATATGGTAACTAAGTTTACTGAATGCGTCTGGACTTTTAAAGTTGGATTTCCCCCCAGAATTTTAAAATCTGGTTTCTTTTCAGATTGCATAAATCTTTCGCCTTTATTTAACGGTGGGAGACCTCGAGCTCCAAAGCAGGAGGCACAACAAAGGGAAAAAATGGAAGCAAATAATCCAAAGGTAACATTTAAATGGTTAATATTAACCAGAATACACTATAGGTAACACCCAAGATTCCTCGGTGATGTGTTCCCATGCATGTGCAAATGTCACCAACCAGAAGATAAAACAAGGTGCCAGGGTGGGGAGGGGGGCCTCTAGTAATTCCTGCTCAATCTCTGGGGAATAAGGGAGCTGTTTGTTTCATTTCTTCCCCCTGATGTTTCTTTGAGAATTGTGACAGCCCATAGTGAGGCTTGAATGGGTCCTCATGTTGCTGCTGGGGTTCCAATCTGTAAAGTCTCTGGTACTGAGGATGTGAAATGTGCCTGAGGAAATGCCCATATTTGAAGACTTGGGCAAGTGGGCCAGTAACGCCTAGAGTCTTTGTAATGAGCTTATTTTTATGTGAACTCTTTCCAACACTTCATGAAGATTGGCACTGAAGAGCTCTTTGTCCTTGAAGAGTACATTTTCAGGCTTTGCTTGGCCCTGGTGTCATTAGGCAGAGTAGTACAGCATAACCAGGAGGGTCATTGTGGTACAATAGCAAATGCCATAGCTCTACTTGCCAAATCTGCTGCCTGCCCAGCAGCATTGATCTGCTGTTTCCCTAATCTGACACCTTCTGCTTGTATTATCTTTGCTATGTGGAATGTGAGGACACCAGAGTAATATACCTTTCTCTCTAAGGTATTCAGCTTCCTTCCTTCTTTATTGAAGCGTGAAGTATGGTCCCCAGAACAATGCCTCAAGGGGATAACCTCAGTGACCAGCAAATTAGTCACAGGGTGGGGGAAGAGAAATTTGCACCCTTCATCCCTTACTTTAGTTTCCTAGGAGAGACAAACACTGATGCAAGTTTGGCTCACACCCCTCTAGTAATATCCAGCAGCCCCTGCAACTGGATGGGAAATGCTACTGGACCCAAGGAAGCAGAGTAGAGAACTTTGAGGATCGGATCCCATGGTTATGGATCTGAGTACACAATATCCAATTCCAGGGATTTCGCTGAACAAATTAATTGTTCCGTACAGAGGCAAATGTCCTCAGTGGGAGAAATGGAGCCTGAATCTCTGACCACCTCGTCCAGAGATAGTTCCTACACGGCATCAGAGCCCACTCCAAAGGCTGCATTGGCATCCTCTGTATCAAAGGCATCTGCCTCCAGTTCTGTTGGATGATGAAGAAACAACATCAGCGGTTGAGGCAAGAATGACTTCAGTGCAGGAGGAGCTCAATCAGAACTGACCACTAGTTCAGATGCCAAAGAGGGTGGTTGGAAGCACGAGAGTGTATTCTTCCCAAGGTAAGTTGGGTGGCCAATGCATGGGTGATGGAACCATGGGATAGGGAAATCATGGACCCTGAGGTGGAGGCCAATTGGAACTGATGAGGCAGATGGATCCAACACTGCTGACTTCTTCCCCACTGGAGGCAGAGTGGGTTCAGGCAATAGCGGTTGGATCTCTAACACCTCATCATCAGAGAACTTCTGGCTAGCCACAGTGTTGGAGATGGTGATGAAGTATGAGGCCAAACAGGTCAAGAAATAACCTTTGACAGTGAATAGTGCTTCAAAGGAACGTCCTTAGACTTAGATTTAGCTTTGTCCTTGGACTTCTTAGATGGCGGCTCCAAAGAACTTCTTGGAACTGGTAGCAGCCTTGGAGCCAACAAGGCTTGAGGTTCCGAAATAGATATGGAGGGTGCTGACCCCACCAAGGGATTATGGCCCTGAGCCTCTGGTTCCTTTGCCCTCCAAATGGGCTGGTCTTTCTTCAGGGCTCTAAGTGCTCATTCCAACAGGAAAGCTTTTAGGTGAGCCATTCTTTCTTGCTAAACTTTGGGGATGAACTGGCAGCAGATGGAACATGCCAAAACATTATGGGACTCACCAAGGCATGTAAGACAGTGTTTGTGATCGTCAGACTGCACCATCTTTATCCATCTTTAAAAGAGCCAACTCTCTCACTGACAAAACTGAGGTAACTCGAGGAGCTAAGCTTAAGAAGGTCCTTTCTCCACAGTGGCAAAAAGAGGACTGAGGGAGGGAGTGCGCCTTCCATCTCCAACATGTGCTGGTTTGGGCAGCACATTCTGGAGAGTAGGGGAGAACGCCAGGACCTATGGAAAGAGCTAGAAATCTTGAGAAAAATAATCTCTGCAGTAGGCCTATGCATGCGCAGTCCCATGTGGAACTGCACAGAAGCCATGAAGATGAACCTAAGTGACTGAGGAAGGAATGATTCGGCAGATGCTTTTGCCGCTTGGTTGCCTGCACAGGGACAACTGTAACAAAGGTGAGCAGCAAGTCACAGGGATAGATTATTGTCTGTTAATTAAGGACTCCAGCTAGTTCAATTGCTTTGTCAAACAAGCTATTAGGCTCCCAAATGCTTTTTCAAAGTGCTGTACCAGGAGAAGCCACTTTAAGTAAAGAGATTTTGTGCCACAGTGGTGCCTGAAGAGTTAAAATCTAAGCACTGCTTCCTATTTTATGCCAGAAAAACTAAAAGAAGACATTTTGAAGTTGAATTTAAAGACAGAGGTCTACGAAAGTAAGATGTCATAACCATAACACATAATAAACATCCATTGGCTACTTCAGGTTTCATGCGTTCTCTTCAAGAATGCCTGTACTATAGTATCAACATTACATTTTCATGTGTTTTTAGAAATGTGCAACTCCCATACCTAAGCTTTTGAAACTAAATATAGAAGTAACATTGAGGCATTTAGAAAGTAGTACCTAGCTTATCAGATACTGATGGGATTTTGTTAGTCACACTAAAATGCAGACACAGTTAATCTACAAAAGCTATTTTGCTTAACACAAATTGCCATTAAGTACTTACCAATTTAACAAACTGTTTAAAACAATGACAAGATGAAAAAGGAGGAAAAGTAAACTAGAACTATAAAGGTAGCCATATGAAAGTCAAAGTGTATGGCAAACAATATTGGTATGTGATAAGAATAGTTTCATATAATGCTAACTAAAAAGAAAACCATGTATTACAGAGGTGACCCCAAAACTAAAACAGCTTCTAAGACAAGTACCTCTACATACAACTTCACAATCCATACTAAACTGGCAACCAGTTTAGGCTCAAGCAACACACAAAATACTTCGAAGCTTCTCCTAAAGAAAGATTTTCTGGCCTTGAAATAAGGTCTCCATTCCCCACCCTGCCCTCAATTCACTTACTCTTGAGTAGAGATGGGCACGAACCAGCTGATGAACTAAAGAAAGCAGAGGGTTAAACTTTAAATGGCTCATGAACCAATACAAACTGGGTTGATGTGTGAACCAACCTCCTGGTTCGTATCGGTTAGTGGTTCAGTTCATGTTCAGCCACAAACCACAAACCAAACTGCAAAAACGTGGTTTGTGCCCATCCCTACTCTTGAGTCAACTCTAGCAGAATGTTAGGAGCTGAATTTAAATTATGAAAATACTAATGATCTTTAAATATAATAAGTAGTAGTACTATAGATTTTATCAGTACTGTGGGATAAATGACAAAATACGCAAGAATTTAAAAAACAACATTCTTCAAACCAAGTTATGCCAAACAGGTTTGCTAAAATAAGATTTACCTTGATTTCTTTTTGTTCTACAGATTTTTCCCATATTTGCTGGTCATAAGCCCCAATCTAAATAGGAAACAGGAAAATCTGCATTAAAATGAGAGTATTCAGCACAATTATGTATTTTAGCTTTTTCACAGTAAACTATGGCATATTGAAAGAATAAACTGAAAGGCATTTAATGGATAGGCTGATTAATGCTTGGTTAACCAATTTCTAAATATTCTGCAACCACCACATTTTAGTGAAGTATTTTCTGTATCATATTTTGTCAATTATTTCTACATAATCACAAACTTTAGACTCTATTGTGCAACAGAATTCAGGTGCATAACACTGATCATTAAAATAAAATAAAATACAGAAATGTGGCAAACTTAATTTTTCAACAACTGTTCGAGAAATGTAAAGAAATAAGAACAAACAATTCTAGAACAATATTAAAATCTTGTTCTCATCAAATCTGAAATCCTAAGCATGCATACTGTAAGTATTGCTGTAATCAGTGGAGCATACTTCTGAGTAGACATTAACAGGGCTGAGCTAGAGATCAACTACTGTGCATAATAATTACTGGATAGAGATTTATATGTACTAAGCCTAACTGTACCCAAAGTAGGTTATGTCTGTCATAAATACCATTTGCCAATTCTTATTATGCAGGACTTTTAGGTCTTAAGAGAAATATTTTTAGTTATAGCACCTGATCAAACAATGTATGGGCCCAAGTAATCAGAGATTTCTTCTACAATAAGTTAATTGTAGAATGCTCTCGAGATGAAATATTTAATACTTATACCACTTTCTAGAGCGTTCCTAGGGATACATAGCATGTTAACATTTCAAACCAGGTGCTAAATAACATTCTAGAAATTGGTCTAATGGCAGACCAAACTTCATTTGTTATACACATAAACAATTAGAACAACCGGGCTATTTTTGGGCAGGAACGCACAGGAATGGAGTTCCGGCTGGCTCCTGAGTTGGCCACGCCCAGCAGGAACTCATTAGCATAATAGGCCACACCCAACAGCAGAAACTCATTAGGATTGGCTACATTAGGGGTGTGTGGCCTAACATGCAAAGAAGTTCCTGCTACAAAAAAAGCTCTGGATTTTGACAACAAGGTAAACAGAATAAGAAGCAAAAGGTTGGTGTGGCTGGATGACCACACTTCTGGTAACATGTGGGTGCAGCCTAATATGCTAATGAGTGGTGCTGTCAAGGGTGTGGCCCAATATGCTAATGAGTTTCTGCTATTGGGTGTGGCCTATTATACTAATGAGTTCCTGCTGGGCTTTTTCTACAAAAAAAAGCCCTGAGAACAACAATGTTTTGATCTGTATATTCTTATAGGACCTCTTATCAAATAAAAGGGGTCCCCTGAGTGTCAAATATTAGGTGAAAAGGAACTCTGAGCTTTTAATTGTCTTGATTCTATTAAAATAATAGCTAAATGATGAGAATGCATTAAGAATTTCACTGGCACTATTTAGAGAGAACCATAGTTTCCGCTTAACCTACCTTACCGGATTACTGTAATGATAGCCCTAGGTATGTTGCCCTCTTACATGGCGAATGAAAATCATACCACCCAAACTTACAACACAAATACATCTAGTTATTTTAACAGTGTTATTTATGACATGTTTTATGCTGTATGTGATTGATTGTAATAGCCTTTGGCCATATACAATCAATGCTATCTGTGCCAGCACGAACATACACATAAACAGCCTAACATTAGCAGGAAACTGATACACTTAAGACTCATTTCCCCCATAAAAGAACTGTCAGATCTACTTTTCCTGAAAACCCTACATAATTTTATGTCTCAGACTGCCAACTAAATCTAGTTTGGGCAAACAGATTCTGTCTGCTTAAATTCCATTTGCAGATTTGGCTGCAGAGGCTTACCATAATTCCATCAGTGCAAGAAGCAATTTTTGTCTGCCAAGCCTATAAATAGAACTAGATGTTTTGTGTAATAGGACCTGCTTTTCCCTTAAGGTCAGAGCAAACCTCCAGAAATCCATCTGTTGTGCAGTTGCACAATACAACTGGGATGAATATATTTCAGTAGATCATTATTTTACTTGCATCCACAGTAAGTAAATGTTCTTGAGTAGTTTTAATGGAACAAAACATGGAAATACTAAGACCTTTGTTTGCACTTCACTCTCTTCACCAAAACACATTTGTTATAAGCTGACTTACAACTACCATGGCTTTTCTGCTACAATTCAAATTCAGCTATCAAGTAATTAGACCAGGATTTATTGTACAAATTAAAACAAGACTATAAATATTTAATTCCTGTTGCTAGGATATTCAAGTGGTCAAGATTTATTTTAAGTTTTCCATTACAGGCAGCAAAACCAAAAAATCCAACCTAAAGCAAAACTACACATGAATGCACAGGAAGCTGCCTTATTGTGAATCAGACCATCAAGGTCAATATTGTCTACTCAGCCTGGCAGCAGCTCTCCAGGGTCTCAGGTAGAGGCCTTTCATATCACTTACTGCCTGGTCCTCTTAAAACTGGAGACGCTGGGGTTTGAACCTGGGACCTTCTGCATGCAAAGCAGAGGCTCTTCCACTGAGCCACAGCCCCTCCGCTGACAGCATCAAGTTCATCACACTAAGTAAAATTAACAAAATATATAAACAAACCAGTAACCTAGTACCTGGCACATAGTTTGGGTTATTTAAATCATGGCAGAGGGCTACAATATAAAAAATCAATCAAGTGCCTGTTAAAACAGTACAAGGACACCACCGCCTCAACCACTCCTTCCTCCCATCCCCTCACCTTGGGTGAAGCAAGAAGTCAAAGCAAATGATGAGAAGGCAGAAACCCTAGGCCCACACATGATTTTATATATATTGTGGCCCTCTGCCATGATTTAAATTAACCACCTAAGTGTCCTGTACTACTCCTGATCTCCCCAAGGTAGAATCCCAAAGAAAATATTGCCTAAACAGACTTAGTCATAAGTTCTACAGATGGCCTGGCTCCTTCATCCAGATAAGTGAGAATAGTGAAAAGGTGAACAAATGTCTTCAGAGAAATACTGCGAAAACAATAATATAAAGACAGGGCTGAATATGCTTTCACGTGGCTTAGGGGAGTGACTGAAGGATATACACTAGTTTTCACATAGGACTTAAATAATAAGTTTCAGCTCTCATTTCAAAATATCAAATGGAAAACATGACAGCAATTCTAAAGAGCACACTGCAAATCCAGAGCAACAAAATCTTCTGACAGAATGATTCAGTCTTTTTTCCGGGCCCAGTTCCAAGACTATGTGAGTCCCAGGCATGAGACAAACTCAAACTATTTGACCCAGCCTCTCTTTTTTGGCTTCAATATAATGTGTGACTGCATGCAATGCAATACTGTTACTCACCAACTTTAGTCCCTCTCAGCAGTCATTCAAAACATTAACAGCACCAAGAATATAGACAGGAGCTAGCTTTAATGCAGCTAGTACAATATGGGAAATCTTCTTGGTTTAGGGAAATTGCTGGGAAACTTGGTAGACATTGCCAACTACTGGTTTCTTGTTAGAGTCAGAATGCTTTGTAAAGATTTAATAGTTTGTTCTTCCCTCCCCCTAGGAATTTGTTCTTTTCCAAAACAGGGGATGAAGAGAGTCAGGAATTCAATCATAAACAGCAAGTAAAGGTACGAAAAGATTGTTTTAGGGAAAGTCTTACCACTGCTCTTTTGATATGGGGCAATGTGACAGGCTTCACACATTGATTGAAACTATAGTATCAATAGTTTTTAGAAACTAAAGCCTCATAAAATAAATTGGAAGTCTACAGTCATACTAGGACACACAGATATTCTCCACCAACACAGAAAAGGGGAGCATTTTTAAAAGCAAAAGGTGAGAAGAGCAGGCGAGGGAATGTGCCACTCACCTTCCCAGCGTTTCTCTCTCCAAGCACTTCTGGCCAAATCAAGCACATTTCCAGTATTCAGAGTGCAGCTGATGAGAAAAACGTCCAGAGGATTCTGCCCTCTTCACCTGTGCACCCATTTTGCCATTAAGGGGATAGGGCCTATGTATATAATCTGTATATAAAAATACACTACTCTGCTACCATTATGTAGTTTGGCACTACAAAGAATGGCTATAAAAATGGATATTGCTATAAAACTGAGGTCCTGACGTGGATAACCCAGGCTAGTCCAATCTCAGAAGCCAAGCAGGGTTGGCCCTGGCTAGTATTTGGATGGGAGACCTCCAAGGAATATCAGGGTCGTGACACAGAGACAGACAATAAATGTTGCCATAAGTCAGCTGTGACTTGACAGCATACACACACACACGTGCGCGCATAAGTAAAATCTGAGCCAGAAAATGTTTTTCATCTACTCAGGTTTTCCCTATTGAGGGTTTAAAAAAACTATGACACACCCATCCTTCCTGTTCAGACTACCTCGCTACTGTCACCGCCCATTCCAGTCTGGTTACCTGTTAACCTCAAGACTCATATGCAACGTTCCTAACAACATTTTAGGGATGCCCACAGCAGTTCCACTTCTCTAGGCCAGTTTTTAAGCAGCTTTGGAATGGCTTTCAATCCTATCTCTGATCAGCATTAGAAAATTTAAACCTAGCCATGGTAATACAAAATACTGTGCAGAAGGGAAGATGACAAGGAGAAGCAAATGACAGGAATTCCAAGTCCTGAATATATAGGGATGACTACTATTGACCTAACAGGAAATCGTACTATCCCATTAAAAATATAGCTCTGGTGTTAATGAAAGAGCCACACGGTACATACTTGTATTTCATAGTAGCTACGGATTAACTGCCATTTAAATTGATAACCTGAATAAGCAAAACCAATATAATGGTTTGATCATCATACAAACGCCTTGTACCACACCAGGAAATTTACTCTCATAGGTTATAACCTTATTACGTAACAGCTGTCCTTTCAATTGAATATTTTTTTTTATTTTCAATGTATGTTGCTAATCTAGTATACGATTGGACTGGCAAGTTATTCTGGAACAGCTCGTTACTTATTTGTTTCACTTA